TTCGCCGAAAAAAACGACCATGGATAGTAAGGCGTTTTTCGCCGAAAAAAACGACCATGGATAGTAAGGCGTTTTTCGCCGAAAAAAACGACCATGGATAGTAAGGCGTTTTTCGCCGAAAAAAACGACCATGGATAGTAAGGCGTTTTTCGCCGAAAAAAACGACCATGGATAGTAAGGCGTTTTTCGCCGAAAAAAACGACCATGGATAGTAAGGCGTTTTTCGCCGAAAAAAACGACCATGTATAGTAAGGCGCTTTTAGACGAAAAAAAACGACGATGTATAGTAAGGCGTTTTGAGATGAAAAAAACGACCATGTATAGTAAGGTGTTTTTAGTCGAAAAAAACGACGATGTATCGGAAGGCGTTTTTAGCCGAAAAAAACGACCATGTATAGTAAGGCGTTTTTAGCTGAAAAAAACGACCATGTATAGTAAGGCGTTTTGGGCTGAAAAAAAAAAAGGACCATGTATTGGAAGGCGTTTTTAGCCGAAAAAAACGACCATGTAGAGTAAGGCGTTTTTAGCCGAAAAAAACGACCATGTAGAGTAAGGCGTTTTTAGCCGAAAAAAACGACCATGTAGAGTAAGGCGTTTTTAGCCGAAAAAAACGACCATGTAGAGTAAGGCGTTTTTAGCCGAAAAAAACGACCATGTAGAGTAAGGCGTTTTTAGCCGAAAAAAACGACCATGTAGAGTAAGGCGTTTTTAGCCGAAAAAAACGACCATGTAGAGTAAGGCGTTTTTAGCCGAAAAAAACGACCATGTAGAGTAAGGCGTTTTTAGCCGAAAAAAACGACCATGTAGAGTAAGGCGTTTTTAGCCGAAAAAAACGACCATGTAGAGTAAGGCGTTTTTAGCCGAAAAAAACGACCATGTAGAGTAAGGCGTTTTTAGCCGAAAAAAACGACCATGTAGAGTAAGGCGTTTTTAGCCGAAAAAAACGACCATGTAGAGTAAGGCGTTTTTAGCCGAAAAAAACGACCATGTAGAGTAAGGCGTTTTTAGCCGAAAAAAACGACCATGTAGAGTAAGGCGTTTTTAGCCGAAAAAAACGACCATGTAGAGTAAGGCGTTTTTAGCCGAAAAAAACGACCATGTAGAGTAAGGCGTTTTTAGCCGAAAAAAACGACCATGTAGAGTAAGGCGTTTTTAGCCGAAAAAAACGACCATGTAGAGTAAGGCGTTTTTAGCCGAAAAAAACGACCATGTAGAGTAAGGCGTTTTTAGCCGAAAAAAACGACCATGTAGAGTAAGGCGTTTTTAGCCGAAAAAAACGACCATGTAGAGTAAGGCGTTTTTAGCCGAAAAAAACGACCATGTAGAGTAAGGCGTTTTTAGCCGAAAAAAACGACCATGTAGAGTAAGGCGTTTTTAGCCGAAAAAAACGACCATGTAGAGTAAGGCGTTTTTAGCCGAAAAAAACGACCATGTAGAGTAAGGCGTTTTTAGCCGAAAAAAACGACCATGTAGAGTAAGGCGTTTTTAGCCGAAAAAAACGACCATGTAGAGTAAGGCGTTTTTAGCCGAAAAAAACGACCATGTAGAGTAAGGCGTTTTTAGCCGAAAAAAACGACCATGTAGAGTAAGGCGTTTTTAGCCGAAAAAAACGACCATGTAGAGTAAGGCGTTTTTAGCCGAAAAAAACGACCATGTAGAGTAAGGCGTTTTTAGCCGAAAAAAACGACCATGTAGAGTAAGGCGTTTTTAGCCGAAAAAAACGACCATGTAGAGTAAGGCGTTTTTAGCCGAAAAAAACGACCATGTAGAGTAAGGCGTTTTTAGCCGAAAAAAACGACCATGTAGAGTAAGGCGTTTTTAGCCGAAAAAAACGACCATGTAGAGTAAGGCGTTTTTAGCCGAAAAAAACGACCATGTAGAGTAAGGCGTTTTTAGCCGAAAAAAACGACCATGTAGAGTAAGGCGTTTTTAGCCGAAAAAAACGACCATGTAGAGTAAGGCGTTTTTAGCCGAAAAAAACGACCATGTAGAGTAAGGCGTTTTTAGCCGAAAAAAACGACCATGTAGAGTAAGGCGTTTTTAGCCGAAAAAAACGACCATGTAGAGTAAGGCGTTTTTAGCCGAAAAAAACGACCATGTAGAGTAAGGCGTTTTTAGCCGAAAAAAACGACCATGTAGAGTAAGGCGTTTTTAGCCGAAAAAAACGACCATGTAGAGTAAGGCGTTTTTAGCCGAAAAAAACGACCATGTAGAGTAAGGCGTTTTTAGCCGAAAAAAACGACCATGTAGAGTAAGGCGTTTTTAGCCGAAAAAAACGACCATGTAGAGTAAGGCGTTTTTAGCCGAAAAAAACGACCATGTAGAGTAAGGCGTTTTTAGCCGAAAAAAACGACCATGTAGAGTAAGGCGTTTTTAGCCGAAAAAAACGACCATGTAGAGTAAGGCGTTTTTAGCCGAAAAAAACGACCATGTAGAGTAAGGCGTTTTTAGCCGAAAAAAACGACCATGTAGAGTAAGGCGTTTTTAGCCGAAAAAAACGACCATGTAGAGTAAGGCGTTTTTAGCCGAAAAAAACGACCATGTAGAGTAAGGCGTTTTTAGCCGAAAAAAACGACCATGTAGAGTAAGGCGTTTTTAGCCGAAAAAAACGACCATGTAGAGTAAGGCGTTTTTAGCCGAAAAAAACGACCATGTAGAGTAAGGCGTTTTTAGCCGAAAAAAACGACCATGTAGAGTAAGGCGTTTTTAGCCGAAAAAAACGACCATGTAGAGTAAGGCGTTTTTAGCCGAAAAAAACGACCATGTAGAGTAAGGCGTTTTTAGCCGAAAAAAACGACCATGTAGAGTAAGGCGTTTTTAGCCGAAAAAAACGACCATGTAGAGTAAGGCGTTTTTAGCCGAAAAAAACGACCATGTAGAGTAAGGCGTTTTTAGCCGAAAAAAACGACCATGTAGAGTAAGGCGTTTTTAGCCGAAAAAAACGACCATGTAGAGTAAGGCGTTTTTAGCCGAAAAAAACGACCATGTAGAGTAAGGCGTTTTTAGCCGAAAAAAACGACCATGTAGAGTAAGGCGTTTTTAGCCGAAAAAAACGACCATGTAGAGTAAGGCGTTTTTAGCCGAAAAAAACGACCATGTAGAGTAAGGCGTTTTTAGCCGAAAAAAACGACCATGTAGAGTAAGGCGTTTTTAGCCGAAAAAAACGACCATGTAGAGTAAGGCGTTTTTAGCCGAAAAAAACGACCATGTAGAGTAAGGCGTTTTTAGCCGAAAAAAACGACCATGTAGAGTAAGGCGTTTTTAGCCGAAAAAAACGACCATGTATGCCTTACTATACATGGTACCAAAAAAATATACCAAAAAAAACGACCATGTATGCCTTACTATACATGGTACCAAAAAAATATACCAAAAAAAACGACCATGTATGCCTTACTATACATGGTCGTTTTTTTTCGGCTAAAAACGCCTTTCTATCCATGGTTGTTTTTTCGGGTAAAAACGCCTTCCTATACATGGTCGTTTTTTTCGTCTAAAAACGCCTTACTGTATATGGTCGTTTTTTTCGTCTGAAAACGCCTTACTATACATGGTCGTTTTTTTCGGCTAAAAAAGCCTTACTATACATGGTCGTTTTTTTTCGCTAAAAATGCCTTATTATACATGGTCATTTTTTTCGGCCAAAAACGGCAGACAATACATGGACGTTTTTTTTCGGAGAAAAACGCCTTACTATACGTGGTCGTTTTTTTTTTCGGCTAAAAACGCCTTTCAATCCATGGTCGTTTTTTTCGTGTTAAAACGCCTTATGATACATGGTCGTCTTTTTCGGCTATAAATGCGTTACTATACATGGATGTTTTTTTCGTCTAAAAACGCCTTACTATATATGGTCGTTTTTTTTGTCTAAAAACGCCTTACGATACATGGTCATTTTTTTGGTCAAAAAACGCCTTAATATACATGGTCGTTTTTTTCGGGTTAAAACGCCTTACAAAACAGGGTCGTTTTTTTCGGCTAAAAACGCCTTACTACACATGGTGGTCGTTTTTTTCGGGTTAAAACGCTTTACTATACATGGTCGTTTGTTTTTTTCGGCTAAAAACGCCTTACTATACATGGTCGTTTTTTTCGGGTTAAAACACCTTACTATACAACTTCGTTTCAGATTGGGGAGGAAACATCGGAAGACTTTCTGAGGGCCCCGATAACTTTTCCCCCTCAAAGTATTCACTGTATGTCGATCACCATCTCAGAAACATTTCGGTCTCAAACTCCAGCAGAGGACCCGCCATTGGCAAGGGGAAACAATAAACCCGATTTCGCTTTCCAATGTCAGCTAACAGCAGTAAGAATCATTGTAAAATTCGACCGCAAACTCGCAAGAGGCTCGCGCCCGTCGTCGACAGTGTTGACAAGGTCTTTACGAAACGTAAAGGCGCCATCTACTGGTGACCAATATGAATGACAAACCTTCGACTGAAGTGGCTCTCAACTTTCCAAGTACAGTCCCACCGAAAAAATACAACTCTCTGGGTACCTCTTTCAGGTGCTGTCTCACCATGTTGGTCTTTGTCGTTGTGTTTATGATCCTCTGGACGAGTTGGAACTGGGAAAGTCAATTCCTTACTCTGTCTGTGGCTGCGCAGACGCAATGGAGCACGTGCTCAGCGTGCACTCCGGGCAATCCCTACCAAGCCCCTCGCCCCTCCCCTTTCTCTTCTGGTCTCCCTCTCTGAGCACGGCAGCTGAGCCACTGCCAAACCCCGCTTCA